TTTTGAGACCTAAGTTCATTGTGACCTTTTTTTTTTTTTTTTGATTTCGTGTCACTTCTCAGTAATGTTTCTCTAGGCACCCTTTCCTCTCTCTTACCCACTGTCCTCTCACTGCTCTAAAATCTTGTTGATAGGGAATATTGAGAAAAGAACCCTTTCTTGCCTGACCAATTATACTAGGGTGGCAATGCTCAATACTGAGCTTTGATTTCACACCCATTTCTTTCATGTCCTTTTAAGCTGTTTTGTAGACTCCTTGTAGTCAGTAGTCTCTTGGTTTTTCCACATTTCTTTTGTGTTCTGTTATTTATCTTGTGTTTTGAAACAGTTGATTAGTATCTTGGACAACTTGCTTTTCTGGTTTTGCTGTTATCTAATACCCGTGTGGATGAATGGCAGTGGGCAATCTGACAATCTTTCCATTGTGGTGTCTGACCTCTAGTCTTTTCTTGTCAGTCTTGTGCATTTACTTGCTGTACTTCTCTTCTATCAGTACAATTTAAACTCACCATCCCTTTCCTACTTTGTATTTTCTTTGATTCTCTAACTTGTATTTTCTTTGATTCCTGGTTTCCATATTGTTGTCATGTCATGACTTCACTATACATTCCTGGAATTTGAATTTTAAGTCTCTTAAACTAGTAGGTTAAAATTTTGCTTGGAGAAGTATCTACCATTCTCACCCCTTTTAGCACAGTAGTCAAAAACAAATTTAAAGATTGACATTTTAATTTGAACTGTGACTTCAGCTTCTATTATACATATACCCATGCTATTAAATTTCTCCAAATGTGTATTGGGATGAGATGCTAGAATGTAACCTACAACAAACTGTCATACATTTGTAAAGTTTCTTTGAAACACTGCCAATTTAAGGAAGAGTCTGAATAAGAAGCTACTTGAAAGTAATAATAAAATAAGAGAAACCAGCAAAAATCAAACCACTTTTTTTAAACTTTCACTGTATTCTTGTCTTTATTGAGCTTGAGGATTGTAGTGGTTTCAGATAAGTAGGTAGTAATCTAGTGCACTGTACTTCAACTCTAAATACCAGCCTGTAGCTTCTAACTATTTCTGCCTCTTTCAAGATTACTTTAACATCAACATGGAAGGAAGTGAAAAAAATAATTAAAGAAGATCCCAGATGCATTAAGTTTTCTTCCAGTGATAGGGTAAGTCTTGTGTCACTGCTCTACATAGTGCAGTATGCATCACAAGAAAGTTATTACCTGTTGCAGTGGATTCCCTTTTACATGAAATAAGTGGTGTTAATTAATTACTGCGTATTTTGCAATTATAATTAAATGATTTTTTTCATATAGTAATATCTACGATAATCTGTAATAAAATGTGTATTTCCTAGATACTTTATAGTCACTAATGTGTATAATCCTCTGGTCTATAGGATTTTCAAGGATTTGTCATATTTCAGGCATATTACTTTTTTTTCCCTTCATGCAGAAAAAGCAAAGGGAGTTTGAAGAGTACATCAGAGACAAATATATTACTGCCAAAGCTGACTTCAGAACGCTATTGAAAGAGACCAAATTTATAACATACAGGTTTGTGTAGTAATGTTGTAGAAGTGCATTTCACTGTGACTTAAATATAAATGTTATACTGACTTCTGTTCTCCTAGCCAACATTTGTAGCCC